TGTTCAGAGTGCAACCCCTAACAAAAGGTATATGGTTGATATAAGAAATATTAGCTTATATCTCAAGCTCACAATAAATCTTGGACAATTCTATCAGAAAAAAAATATGACCGTAATATGATGTAATGATATTGGCTCCTTATTTGATCCCAACAATGCCATATCAATGACTGAATTCACTATAATAGTCTTCTCATGAAAGTCATCTAAATATACTTTAACGACTATTTCCACTTATCATTCTTGAAAAGCATTGCAAAATATGCATGGCTCAGTAGAATGATTAACCACACTCGAAATCATGTGGTTGAAATTCATCAGAATCACATAACTTGATTTTATCAAGATTCTATCACTTGTGTTACTCAATACCTACAGGTTATATGAAGAGCAATATCATAAAGCACATTGCTTGAAATCGCTTATCCTTACGAATTACAGAAAGTGAGGAAACAATTTGCAAACAAAATATTGTGAAAATCCTACATATTATTCACAATGCCCTGGTCATGGCAATGGAATTGGTATGACACATCCTCCAGATTTGCAAACTTCAGGGGGAGTAATCTACAAAACTATAACCTGTTAACAATTGTAAGATTGCATATGTTGTACTCTTTTTCCCTTCATGAGTTTTTCCCTAATGGTTTCTCATAAAAGGTTTTTAACGAGACAATATAAACACAAGTGCCCTTATATGTCATAAACTTTCTCCTTATATTTTTTCCACTGGGTTTTAAAGGAGTTTTCAATGGCATGTCATATCGCACTCTTTTCCCTTATGAGTTTTCTATCAAAGTTTCTCATAATTGTTTTTAATGAGGCAATATCTTATCAAAGATAATACGTCATACTTTATATTTTCCCTATCGGGGTTTTTTTTAAGGAAGTCCTCAAGACATATTAATTGTTCTCTAAACTCACCAATGATTTTTCTCCTTCTTCAAAGGTTTTTCTCATATGAGTTAACAAGAGACAATAATCATTATATGTTGCATCATTTTCTCCTTATTATTTTCCCACTGGGTTTAAAGGAGTTTTAGCAACATATCTGCACTATTCTCCTCATATTTTTCCCACAGGGTTTTTTGGAGGAGACATTCAAGATTATTCAAAGAATTTGTCAAGATGATGGATGTACCAAAGAAGAGGCGTTGTACAAGGGGGAGTGTTAAGAATAGAATAGTTGCTTATTAATTAAGCTAATTAGGATTAAGTTAATTGTTAGATAGGTTGCTTGGTTCTCAAGCAACCATGTACTTCCTTGGTTCTCAAGGCAACTATGTAATTCCTTGGCTCTCAAGTAACTATGTGTTTACTTGACCACCAAGCACCATGTGTACTTCCGCCTGGGTATAAATACCCCACTTCTATCATCAATAAAGACTGATGAATCATCTTTCATTCAAACTCTCTCGTTCTTTACTTTTCACTTAAAACAATATTGTCCAATCTTCTTTTTTGCGGGCGTCTGACATGTTTAGTGACAGCCATCCAGAGCATACGCAGTTACGCACACACTAAGATTCATTTCCAATTTGTTGAAATGTGATGTCATGTGCTTATTTTACAATCTATTATTGAAAAATGGGTATGAAACTAGAGATGAGTTGACTAAGAAAAACATAAAATAGACCAAAACTGGTTGCATAAGTTGGATTATCATAATTTTCGTAATGCCAAACAAAGAACGAGAGATTTGCATGATTCGGCAATATTCTACGTGTCGGTGGACCGATCAACTAGTTCATCAAGACATTTGATTTGGTTTATTTTTCTGCGGGGGGGCGGATTCAATGTCACACAAACTGCTCATTTACCAATTTGCGCACATTCCTTTTGAGCGAGGAGATTTGTAGAATTATCAGTCAGTTTACCAACAGACAATGTATGTTTTCTCTCATATGCAAAGGCGGGTTACTATTCTTAGACACGGCTAGCACAAGTCATGGACACAACCAAGCACCGTATACTGAATTCGCAGAGTCTCGAAATTGAAATTGGTGGTTTTGAAAATCCACCAGAATCCCACGTATATTCAGACAAGATTACAGTTATCTTTGGTGCAAATCTGTTACAGCTATCTTTGAGTTGGTTATTATTCCCTTCTTTTTATTCAGAGTATGATATAAAGATATTGGAGAGAAGGAATCAGGTTTCCTGGCTGGATGAAGAGAAATTTAAACCAGAAACTGCAAATCAGAACTGTAAGGCACTTGATCCTTGGAGATAAGACAAATTGTTCATGAAATTTGATTTTCTGCCAATTTGGAGCCCAAACAATCGAGCTGTGGCACCAATCTGAAAATCCTGTTTACTGCAGGAGAACCAACCAACAAAACTGAATCCCTGGAAGGACATCCCCTACAAGCACAAATAATTGCATAAATCGATAGCTACACTGAAGGCAAGAAACAGAGAAGCAGAGCAAGATGTCTACAAGTTCAGCCACGGACCATACTTATCATTACTACAGGTCGCACATCAAACAATACCAAGAGAAATTCTGTCAGACTGAAGCAGGAACAATAGCATTTCTTCAGATATTTCCGAGGGAATAACAGTTTTACTTCAGATCCAATTAACAGTGCACGATTTCTTACAGGATGACAGTCGGAACATAATCTAACTACAGGGTAACATCAATTCACCACACACCGCCAGGAACCAGAAAAGAGGGAAACTCTCAGAGAAGAAGACCGGAGCCTAGGAGGAGGTGAACTTGGTGACGGCCTTGGTGCCCTCGGAGACGGCGTGCTTGGCGAGCTCGCCAGGGAGGACGAGGCGGACGGACGTCTGGATCTCCCGGGAGGTGATGGTGGGCTTCTTGTTGTAGCGGGCGAGCTTGGCGGCCTCGCCGGCGAGCTTCTCGAAGATGTCGTTGATGAAGGAGTTCATGATGGACATGGCCTTGGAGGAGATGCCGATGTCCGGGTGCACCTGCTTCAGCACCTTGAAGATGTAGATCTTGTACGTCTCCACGCTCTTCTTCGCCTTCTTCTTGCCCTTCTTGTCGCCGTCCTTGCCAGCGGCGGACTTCCCCGCCGGCAGCCGCTTCTCAGCCTTGGGCTTCTTCGCCGCCGGGGCCTTCTCCGCCGCGGGCTCCTCCTCCGCGGGCTTCTTTGCCGCCGGCTTCTTCTCCGCCTTGGGCGCCATGGATTCTGCTGCCGCTACGAAGGTCGGAGGTGCGGGGAGGTGGGGTTTCGCTGGTAGGTAGGAGAACCAGTGGGGAATTGGGGATGGGTTGTGGCGAGACCGAGAGGGGATGGAGAGCTTTAAAGGATGGAAGGGGTGGGCGCTGATTGGTGGAGGGGTCGTGCCGCGGATCCGTGACATGGACTGATACCAGCCGTTCGCCGCTGTTGTGATGGACGAGCCAGATGCACTTCGCTGCGGATCGCTGACGTGGCGAGCAGGTCACCGGTTTCTTCCGTTCGGCTCACGCGCGCACGTAGAAATTGGAGGAGCTAAACTTGTGTTGAAGGTGTTTCCGAAAATATTTGTCATCAAAATGAATAAAAAGAGGATGTATCTAGATGTATTTTAGTTCTAGATACATCCCTTTTCTATCCACTTTGATGACAAGTATTTTTGGACGGACGGAGTACATATTCGTACAACCTGCCGCCCAAGGCTGAGCCGCATCCCACGAAGCCTGAGCCAAAGAGGTGCATGTGGACCGGCCAGCTTCACGAGTGGGTGAGCTTGCCGCCCGTGCGGCTGAGCGCGTCGAAGGAGCGCCCCGAGGGTGAACAGCGAATGCAGGCGGAGTGCAAGGAGGAGGAATGTCGTGCCCGCTAGGCATGAGAGTGGAGCATCGAAAGAGAGGGGGAGAAGGAGCGAGCCCGCCGCACAGCAGTGCAGCCGGCAGGGCAGACGGCACAGGCGTGGGAGGCGGCATTCCCGTGGGTTGAGGCGGCGCCGGAGTTGATCGACCTCACCGGCCCGGGATTGAAGCGCAAAAAAATGTGTTGGGTCAGTGTTGGGTGCGAGTGTCGACCCAAATAAAAGAAACACATATGTCTTCTCAACCAGCCCAAACTGACAAAATGCGCGGCCATTTGGGTCCCTGCCTTGGAGTTGCCCTTAAAACTCGACCAAAATCTCTCAATAGGAATCCATGACAAGATTTGTTTCCTTTGGTTGTACTTTCTTTTTCGAGTATTGTTGGTTGTACTCAGCATATACATTTACATGTTCTTGCTACATATGTTGGCTTTCCTTTATGATTTCTCAGTTTAATTTCTCGTCATTCATACAAACGCATCAGTCAGGCAGAAAGGATGGGTGTACCGTGTACGTGTGAAACAACAAATACTGAACTGGCAACTATTCACAACATGATTTTGCAGGGCACATATCAAAATAATAAAAAGGACAAAAATGAAGAAAAAAAATCCAGTTTCAACTACTAGTACATATTTTCTACACAACTACAGGATATGTGTTGAACAATGTGATCATCCCAATGACACGGTATAACCACATACTCCCTCCGTTCGGAATTACTTGTCTCGAAAATGGATGTATCTAGAACTAAAATACGTCTAGATACATCCATTTCTGCGACAAGTAATTCCGAACGGAGGGAGTACTTTCTATCATACTACATATTTCCCCTTGCAGCTAACTCAACCTTCTTCAATCATCACAGTGAAACACGGCGCATCAACATACCAATAATACCTATTAGAGCAAAAAAGATTTTTTTTTTAAACAAACAAGAAGGCTACTACTGCCTAGCATTACGTCCTAATTTATTTGACAAAACATTTACACCCTAACAGTCAACTCAACATTCTGTCGGTTCCATCTCCATTTAGATCGACATGAAGTCAGAATGTAACGCCTTTAAAAAAAACGTCAGAACGTAAGATTGTGCCGCTGAGGTGAAGATCAGAACATGCCATCATCAGCCATCAAAGCTGTCTTCAGAGCTACCAAGAAAGTTAAATGTGCAAGCGATGTATCAACTGCTATTGAAAGATGAAAAGATGCCGTTACTCCTTGGGCAACTGATCATGAGGCTGTGAGACGAAAAATTTAGCGTTCTCTGCAACCTCTGCTTCAAGCACAGCCTCCAGGAGTATATCTGAACCTTTAGGCTCACCTGTCAAGATATAATAACACGGTACATATATTGGTCTACAGTGATAGGAGAGTTGTTGCAGTATATCACTTAAGAGCATGTGCAGTTGTTATTAAGGCAATTTTCTCTCATGTATTCCATGTCATCTAGAGAAGACAAAAAAACATGTTATACAATGCATTATATGTTAGTGTTAGCTCTAACCATTGTGCTTTTATGATCCTAAAATCATGGGGTGGTTGAAATTAAATTAGAAAACATGCAAGTCTTCCTCTGTATAAAATGTACAGGACTTAGTTTTGTGATTAGGTTTTTCTCTGACTATCACTAACAACTTCTTGACTCTTGAGTTATATACCACTAATAAAATGTACGAGTCAATGGCCATATAGTACAGTGGTAGCACTAGCAAACAAATAGATGTTAGGAGTTAAGATCCTTGTTTATGTACCTGTGTGTTTTGGAAGCAATCCAGCAGTTTCAGCTGATATTGGGAGTACATTTAGCAGTCCATTGCTCTCTTTGAATTGTTCTCCATTACTCACACTCATGGAAGAACTCATCTTAATTCCTTCGGATACACTTAGCTTGGCATACATCATTGCTTGGCTGTGCAGATTTGTAGAGCTTGTATTCGCTGATTCCATGTCCTACGGGTACCAGCAATCAATGCCTAATAAACTAGCCCATGCATTAAAATTGACGAGACATGTCATCATACCTTAGATGTCATTGCATATTTATTAGTTACATCGAATTTTGTAGCTTCAGCTGTTTGTTCTGATATATTGGTAAAAGGAATCATTAGTCAGCAAATAAAATAAAGCATGGGAAAAATACTGAATCGGAAAGGAACAAGCATGGTATTATAGTGAACGAAAGACATTATAATCACCAGAGTTCTGAATTCCGTCAGGATTATTTAACCTCCTGGTAAATTGATCAGGATTTTTTCTACAAAAGCTCTCAATTTCATCACGAATTATACTGCGAATATCATCACGAAATTCTCCGGACTGCATAATCATGGTAAACTCTGTCAAGTAGACTTAAATTGTCACAGCCCTAGAATATGGTAATATAGTAAATGCATTAGAGAGCATTGCATGCATCATGTTTAACTTTAATTTTGAATTGAGAGAATTTCAAAGCCTCATATTTTTGTTGAAGGGCAAAACCCTAAATGTTCTTCAATGTATCCATAGTGCCTTTCTAAACCCTAGAAATTCTTGCAATAGCTTATAATAAATATCAGATTCTTCCCAAATGAATTTAGAAGTTTAAGAAGAATTATTTTGGGCCTTGAATTCAAATCATTATTGTATTTGATTTGGATTAATTTTACCACCAAGGAAAGAATCCACAGCAACCGATCCACCATACCAACTTGTACCCGAATGAAATCACTGCTCCCACAATGCCACCTGAACTGCCGATCTTCACTGCTGCCAAAAGGGTGGGAAATTGGGTGGGATTTTACCAGCTTGTGGAGCCAACCACTCAATCCAGAGAGAAATCGCCGCCGAATCCATGGATCCGTAAGTTTTGACTTTTGAGTACCAATTTGCCAGATCCCAGTGGGGATCCAACAGAATTGACAAAGAAATCAAGCAATTTGCAGAACAGAACTAAGATTTGAGGCCGATCGAGGAGGCCATTCTATATACTGTAGCTATATATTGTATCAGGTTCTAGCCATTGAGGCAGAATAACAAGGGGAATAATGAAAATGTTGCCACAGCCCAGCGTAATATAGGCGCAGTAATTCTTGGAGTAAAAGTAACTGTAGTTAATCCTAAGCGTTAAATTTGCCTGAAGCCATCGCAGACGTCGAGCGGAGCGAGATAGGGCATCCGATAACTGAACTTTATCAACACTTGAGACATCTTCAGAACAGATGTTGAGGCTGACACATATCCAAACCTAAATTGCATTTTTATGAAGCATCCTACACATTTTATGCTATAGCGTGCTATTTAAAACAATAGGATAAATAGGTACGAGTGCATTTGGGCGTTCAACACAACAATGAACTATGACAACGTTACCGTACATCAATGTATGCAATAATAATTCAATTAGTCAAATACTTATATTAAGACAGAGAAGATGAGATGTTGTCATACCTGAGTTGCAGAACCATCATATGTTCCTGCTTCAGTCATGCCCTCTGATGTTTAAACAAAGGTCCTATTAGTTTAAGTCAAATGCAGTACTCTGAACTTCTGTAGTAATCATATACAAAAAGTTACCGGTGTTGTGCTGCCTTTTGATAAACTGGCCAGGAGTTATTCTAGACAAGTTCTGAACTTCATAACCAATTGATTGTAACTTTGACATGGCATCTTGAAGCTCCGTATTAATCTGAGTAACGGAGGGGCGTAAATTAATTATGCATAATAATCAAGAATTTAACCACGAGAATGTTTCAATTATGTTGAATAGCATGAACTATTAGCAAGTTAGCATGGCTAAATCATTCAATCTGTTCCAATTTATCATTATTACAAATAAAAAGCAGCCTACTAACAACATATGTAACGTGTGGAACTGTAGCTAGCAACTATTTTTCTGAAAACAGCTAACTGTAAGTTTCCTTTGCTTACAGATATTATGACTTATGACCCATCATTTTTTTTTGTACAAACAAATTTACATGAACTTAGGTATGGGTGGTTTGGTTACTGAGTCAATGCACATAATGCAAAGTTCTGCCATGGTCTCTTACAAACAGCTGCCTATCTTTCTCACACTATGAATAAACTAAATGTCTTCAAGAAACCAAGGCTCTTTGATGCGGAGCATCCCATGGACATCACCTGAACCCATCATCATCAACCCCACAAGCTCCAAGTGGACCAATGACAAAGGCTAGTGCACAAGCTATCAGAACCGAGGTGACTTCCTATTCGAACTCCCTGTGGATTCATGTGAGACATGGTTACCACCTCACTCCGGAACCTTGTGCATTCTTAGGTGTGAAGGGATCAAGCATGGAGAAGTGAGGAATGAAGGCCAGGCTATGGAGGAGAAGGGGATCGAAGAGGAAGCAAGGTACACCAACAAGGAGCTCAACCTGCTGCAAACTGCCAAGTCAGACAATCTGACTTGTGTTCGAGTTAGTGTCAGATACCTGACGGAACATATCCAACATTCAGTTACTGTAGCTCTGGACAGATAATGCTTCGCCAGGATCGGACGGTCGTCATTGCTTCATCCCTGCTGGACTCCGCTCGACGGTTCAGATCAACCCTCTACTACTTACTGTCCAGTTGTCGTATTACTATTTACCCTCATATTACCGTTAAGTAAATTCCCGCGTATATAAAAGCCAGGCTGTGGCTGTGAGAGGTTTATGCTTTTCTATTGTATTTGGCTGAGAGGCTAGAACATGGTACCCAAACCGTATCAATATAGATCGAGGCCATGGATTCGGTCAGATAGATAGCGAAATTCCGTTGTGATTTCTAGTAACCTATCCTGAATCCAACATAGATAGGACTGGGATCTGACAAATTGGCATCAGAGCGCAGTTTTTCCTCGGCGGCAGGGTGCGGATTGGAGGCGCGACCGGGAAATTCCCCACCCTCCTCTCCCTGATGTGTGGCGGCGGTAGATTCATTCGGCGGCGGCCCGCTGGGCGTTACTGGTTGCTGAATCGCATCGATTCAGTGGTAAAATCCCAGGTTCACGGGCGAGTGGTGCTGCTCTACGGAGGCGGGTTTTCTGTGGCGACGACTGGGTCGACAGACGAGATCAGGTTCGATCCAGTGGTAAAATGCCTCTCTCCTTCCTTAGACCAAGGCGATGGGGCAGGGCGCGAAGAGTTTGGACGAATCGGACTTGCAGGAGGTGCTGTCCATGAAGGACGAATTCCTTCCTCAACAGCAATCGACGACGGATCTGAGAGCGGACGTCAATTTGCTCAAGGCCGACGTGGTTTTCATTCATTCTTCACAAGGTGAAATCTCTGAACAAGCAGGAGATGTTCAAAAGGCTGTCCTCGATCTGGGTAAACAGCAAGCTGCTATGAGCTCTGTTCTGAAAACTCTGCAACCACAGAGCTCTAGGAATGCTGAGAAACAGCTGGTTACTGAAGACTTGGAGCATGTTAAACCTCCCACTCTGCAGCAAAGTCAACTAGAACAGCATAATACAGGACTGAAGTTCTCAGGAAACAAATGGAATTGGAGAAGGAACTCAACAGGCACTGTGACAATTTGCCTCCAATTAGAACCAACAGGCCATATGTAGCCCCTGGTCTCAGAAAGCAACAGTCACCTGATGGTGTCAATGACCATACACCTACTGCTCCTTCTCGAGGACAAGCCTATACTCCTGCTTTCAATCAATTCAACCAAAGCAGGGAGAGACAGTTTTGTCAAGGTTATTTCAAGACTTATGAACAGGAAATGAAAGCACAGTTCCATGAAGTCTATAACAAAAGGGCCTAAGATGGATTTTCCCAGATTTTAAGGAGAAGATCCTGTGGGATGGACTAGACAGTGCAATAGATATTTCCAAATGGCTGCAGCTCCTCAGAATTACAAAGTTTCATTGGCACAGCTCTATATCATTGGAGAGGCTGATGTCTGGTTAAGGAGGTCTGGGCTATTGAAAAAGCAATTGACATGGCCTGAATTCTGCACTGAATTGACAAAGAGATTTTCTTCCCAAGGTTCCTATATTTAACAGAGAAGTCTAACAGTCAAACAAACAATCTAACAGTGTTGGAATACACCAAAATATTTGAAGATCTCATGGCTGATGTGCAGGAAGAAACACCTGAACTTTCTGAACTCTGGTTTGTGAGGTGTTATGTAAATGGACTTAGAGAGGGCATCAAGTATCAAGTTAGACCCCTTAGACCTCAGACACTTAATGATGCTTAATGGTTAGCGAGATACTGAACCATGTCAACCTCCCAAGAAGCCTCCAGTGCCATACAACAACTTCTATCAGAAACAGAACAATACAGTGCAGCAGAGAAATGTGCACCTCCAATTACCTCAACAACAACCCCGAAAACAACTGGAACCTCCTAATGCCCAGTTCCAAAGAGCAAGGAAAGTGGGAGAATGCTGGAGATGTGGAGATAAGTGGGTGCAGGGCCATAAATGTAAATTAGTTCCAAATATCCATGTTATGGAAGAGGAACAAATTGACTAACACTGAAGGTGGTGAAATACAGAACCAGGAACAGTTCACTGAACCCACTGAGGCTGCAATGTGTATTTCTGCTCAGGCTTTAAGTGGAACTAGCTCTTCTTCTACTCCCACAATCATAATTCACATCAATGGAAAAAGAGCAGTAGCTTTATTGGATGCCGGCAGTACATCTTCTTTTATGGATGAACAGTTTGCCATTCCTACTGGTGCTCTGCTGCCAACCATACCCAAGAATGTGGCAGTGGCAGGAGGAATGTTATCTTCTACTTCTGTGGTCCCAAATTGTCCCATGAATATAGCTAAACTCAAGTTCCAACGTCACCTCAGAGTTTTGGAGCTACCCCACCATGATGTAATTATTGGATGTGATTGGTTTTCTCTGGTCAGCCCCATTTTATTTGACATTCCACTGAAACTTTTTTCATTCACTCTAGCTGACAAAACAACAGTCACTACAGCAATCTGTACTAGTACTGTAGTTCCCTATTGAAATTCAGGCTGAACAGCTACCGAAAATCTTCGATAAGGGTACACCTGGGTTTGTTATTCAACTATATGATTTGAATTTAAAAGCAGACAGAAAAACAGCTTTGCCCATAGCAATTCAACAGTTGTTACAGGAGTATAAGGATATTTTCAAGGAACCGGCAACTCTACCTCCTAAGAGAGCATTATACCACACTAGTCCTCTGAAACCAGGTGTTCTTCCTCCAAATATTAGACCATACAGGGTCACTCATTTGCAGAAAAAAGAGATGGAAAAGCAGTTGAAGGAGCTCATTGCCAAACACATAATCAGACCTAGTCAGAGTCCATATGCCTCACCTGCTATTTTGGTTAAAAAGAAGGATAACACTTCCAGATTTTGCATTGATTGTAGAAAAGTCAATGAACTTACAATCAAGAACAAATTCCCATTACCTGTTATTGAGGATTTGCTAGATGAGCTTCATGGTGCCAAAATTTTCTCCAAATTGGACTTGAGGTCTGGTTATCATCAAATAAGAATGACGGAGGAGGATATCCACAAGACTGCATTCAGAGCTTACTTTTGGCAAGTTTTGGTCATGCCTTTTGGCCAGTAAACTGCTCCAAGAACTTTTCAGGCTGTGATGAACAACATATGTGGGCCTTACTTAAGAAAATTCTTGTTAGTTTTCTTTGATGATATCCTGATATACAGCTCAAATCTGAGTGACCACATCAAGCACTTGAACATAATTTTCTCTCTTTCGAGGAAACATCAACTATTTGCCAAAATATCCAAATGTGTCTTTGCTGTTCCCAAGGTGGAATATTTGGGACATATTCTCCTGCTGATGGTGTTTCTATTGATCCATCTAAGATCCAAGCAGTTGCAGATTGGGTTACCCCTACTACTGTCACTCAGTTGAGAAGTTTCTTAAGGCTGGCTGGTTACTACAGAAGATTCATTAAGAATTATGGGATCATCTGATAAGCCACCGCATGACATGCTCAAAAAGGGCCAGTTCATGTGGTCTGCAGCTCAGGACACTGCTTTTCAGCAGGTGAAGCAGGCAGTGATCTCTGCCCCTGTTCTTTCATTACCTCATTACCTGATTTCTCCACTCCTTTTATACCGGAAACTGATGCCTCTTGCACTGGAATTGGAGCTGTATGTCAGGACCCAGTTGCGGTGTGATCTCTGTTTTCGTTGATTCAGTTGAATTCAGACTGCTATCCTTTGGCGTGAGGCAGTGGAAACCGTCCATCTTCGATCCAACGCACCTGATGGCTTCGTACCGCTTCGGCAAGCTTCGGAAGGCGTGGTGCGTTGATATCCCATCGGACGGCTCTGGGTGGTCAAGGCGTCGCTGTAGATCTCTCTGTAAAGCTCAACCACTCCCCTCTCCTCCATGTGCATTCTCGCACCTTCTAGAGTCTTGTAAGGCTATATAGCCAGGATTTGAGAGCCTGCGTGCTCATGCTTATTCTTCCTTCGGGTAAACCCTAGCCGCCGGTGTTCCCGGTTGGTCTCCATGTAACCGAAACCCTAGCTAAACTTCCCTCTGAAATCAAGCTTGGCAAGTGATAATTCTCTGAATTCTGAGTGCGATTTCTGAATTTAGTCTGTCAGACCTGTCAGACCACTCGGGCCTGACAATTGGTATTCAGAGCAAGGTTGGTTCCTCGGCGGCGTGCTGGATTTGGGGCCGGAAAAGAGTTGGAGGTGC